TCCATGCAGGGGGAGAGCAAGGTTTGATCCCTAATGCCTATGCCCGCTTCAAATTCCACCAAAAAACAGGAACTACCACAGTGACATGAACTACACCAATTATGAGAAATTGTTAAAGGAGCGACTTATTCCTAACCTTGTCATTGATAATGCTCACGTCCATAATCTACAACTAAACAGAGCCCTAACTCAAATTCAAGAAGAGATTTTATGATATCCTGGCTAAAATATCACCTTCCACCTATTACCTTCACTAACACTGATTTTTCATCATTGCGGAATCCAGACATATATAATATGATCCTACCACTCAAACTGAAATACCTTTCCTATAAAATAGATGGAATCTTTGCAGAACACAATCACAATATTTTACGACTCCCTCCGTATCACCCAGAACTCAACCCAATTGAGTTAATATGGGCAAATGTAAAAAATTTGGTTGCTCAAAACAATATCACATTTAAGATGGATGACGTCATTAAACTGGCAGACCAAAAATGGCTTCCATAACTGCAGAAGAATGGCAACATGGGTGTCAACATGTAAGGAACACTGAGCAACAATTAACTCTTTGACTGGCGCGAAGGGTATTTAAATCCCATCCCTGTCCTGGCAGACCCTTTAAACCTTATGTCGCTAAAATGCATGTGCTTACTTTTTTCTAAACAACTTCAACAAAAATTGGTTTTTAAAAACGAAATTTTCAGGAACTAATAGAAAGACAACATTTTATGCAAGAAATGCCTTTCCATACCTCTTTAGTAGTTTTTCTTCGTGTGATAAACATTGAAACATGAAAGTTTGCAGAGAGCCACACCACAGCTTCCGCACATGACACACGTTTCTTTTCTAATCTTGTGCTTAGCAGACACGCAACATTTTCTCATGGCACCATTCTTCTTATTGTTACTGGGAGGAACATGGACCATTTTGTGAATTTTCAGGCCACCCTCTAGATGATTTGCTGGGTCTTTAACTGGTGTTCTTTTGAAGGTCGCGGGCGGAGGCGTGACTGCACTCGAGTCTGATGCAATAGATTCATCATCCACTCCATTCCTTGATTCTTCTCCCTCTCCACACTGTTTGTTTGGTTCAGTCATTTTTTCTACACAGTCCAATATAAAATCTTTGAATTTGTAATTTCTCTTCTTGTATTTTTCGTTTGTTGTGTTCTTTTTGAATAGAATGAAATTATTCAACGCTGCCATTTGCAACAGGAAAAACATCAGTTTCTTTGTCCACTTTACAGTTTTGTGGGAACAAGGATAGTAATTCAGCATTTGACCAGCCCTGTCAACCCCTCTCATATGTTTATTGTAGTCCCCAATTACCTCGGGTCTGCATATTTTTTCTCCTTTGCGATTCGTTTTTGCAGATTCCACGATTTTTGCTGTGTGAAGAGTGGAGATAAGTTTGACGTCTCTTTTATCTCTCCACACCTGTATGAGAACCTGCCCCTTCCTAGAAAACACAGATTCCCCTTTTTTCAAATTTTTT